TCTCTCTCTCTCTCTCTCTCTCTCTCTCTTCCCCCTCTTAATTCTGAAAGTCAGCGCGTCTTTAATTTGGACTAGGGGTCTCAATTTCACTTTATTAGTGGAATCTTCCGAAGCACCTGAGTCTCAACAATTATTATAGACACCAAGGCGCACATTGAAAGAGGAGGGAGTCCGAATTTCTTTTAGCACTGAAAATTCGTTTGTTTTACAAGGAAAGGGAGTGAGGAGAAAAACAAAGAAAGACATTACTCATCTACGACCAGAGAAAGGACGATCAACGTTGATTGTGAAACTGTGACAAATTGTTGGTCTTTTTGCTTGTTTGAAATTTGTGGTTTTCATTTCTGTTTTGTTTTGACTTTGGATTTATCTTGATTAATGCATAGCTGCACGTTAGTGTTTTTCTTGCCCTTGCCAAGACAAACATCGTTCTGCTTTTGTGGCGATTACTGAAAGGAAAGGGGCGTGACACAGCTCACCAGACTTAGATTCGTTTTATTTTTCATTTTGTACAATCTGAGCTCCCTATAAGGAACACATTTCTTATTAGGTCGTTACGTCTATCGACAAGCTGGCACCAAAAAAAAATAATGATAAAGGTGTAACTGCCCTATCAGCATTGTTTGGTTATTTAAAAGGCAGGACCTCCGAGTTTAACGTCCATTTCCGAAAGGACTAAGCCAAATGGGAACTTCGTGTAAAGTGCCTTCCCAAGGACACAAAGTCGGACTGGAACTCCCGAACCAGTAATCTCACCATTGCGGGTCCAGTGGCCTAATAACTAGGCTTCTGACGCCACTGCACTAAAGAGAGCTATACAGAGAAAAGGGTGCCACTTGTATACGATTGGAGTTTGTGGTGTATTGGTCAAACAGTTCGACATGGCATACTGAATACGTGCGTTTCATTACCGTGTGTATGTGGGGGGGGGGGAGCGGGGGATTTGTGTCAAGAATCTTAGTTTGCCGGCTGAGAGGCTATAACCCTCTCACTCGTGTTGGTACTTATGGTTAGGGTCGAAGCAGCCCGCCTCCTGAATTAGTATTGAGTGTGTTAAAAACGTGTATACTCATTTAAAATCAACTTTTGAGAGTTCTGGCGTGTGAGTCCCCCCCCCCCCTCCCATGTTAAGATTTTATTTATGACTAGCTCTTGTTATGTAGCGTACATAAAACCAGTGGGAAAGGGGAGAAAGGAAGAATTGTCAGGATGTATTTTAGGGCACTTTTACCTAATAAAGGCCACATTACGCCTACAATACATAGAAAATGACCGCACCACACTCGAGTTACGACCTGCGAAGAGTGAGACAAAGAGGGGAGAGAGAGAGAGAGAGAGAGAGAGAGAGAGAGAGAGAAAGAGAGAGAGAGAGAGAGAGAGAGATGAAGGGAGAGGGGAAGTAGAGAAATATAGAGAATGATCTTGTTTCCACGTGACTTTGTTTCCAACCATTCTTACCATGAAAGAGACCAAAAATACCTAGCCGCATACCCACCTCCGAAAACAAATTAAAGAAATATTTTTGAAATGATGTAATTGTGCTAGAAATAACTAGATTCTAACTTCTGTCTGAAGATACGCATGAGCATAATATATTGCAGGGCACTGAGCTCTTTTAAAACTACTTCCTTGTCGAAATGAAATGGGGACGGAGATGGGGGTAGTTAAGAATGAAGTCCTAAAGCCCGAACGAGGAAGCTTTCGTGAGTTGGATAAATGAAAGCTATCGTCTTCCAAAGCATGGACTAGCCATGTCAGAAGACAGTTTGCTCCTTCTTCAACCACTCACAGCCAAATAATGCTTTATATGATCGGAGAATACAATCCGCACGTTCATCTTCCATTTGTGCCCCACGTGAGAAAAATTCAATCGAGAGCGGCGAATACGGACATGCAATCGGGTTTCTCGCGATCTGAACTCTTGATTTACTCCCGAGGGATTCCAGTGTAAGGTCATTAGTTTCAGCAATTCCTCTGGGTGAAAGGGGGCCTGGGATGTGTCTTGGCCACTTCGTGAAGCTGAAACAGAACATATTCTTTCTCGTGTGTTCTGTCCACAGATGCGGTGGAGAGTAAATGGCGCACTGACAGCAAACGTGTGACGAAAAATGAAAGCATTTGTTTTATTGTTTTAGTAAGTGTTTTGAGGCACTTGCAATACGATATGGTCATAAATAAAAAATTATATAAGTACCGAAGATTAGAGGTGGTACAGATGAGTAACAAATACAAAAAAGGAGGAGAGACTAGGACGGTAGGTGTTTGATATGAAAAAATGAGCAAACCAAACCAGAGCACCCGCCAACCACCCACAATGAAGACTTCAAGATAAAAGAACGTAACCCTAATAACGGCCACTTTAAGCCAATAAACGACAGTGAAAGACCACATCAAAGTACTGCTTTGGCCGATGCAGCAAGGCTTGTTACAGACTTGACCTTCATATTATAAAAATTCCAGGTTCCAACCCGAGTGACGTTTGCATGTATCCCGTTTGGCT